TACAGGCACCCAGCATCACCTGGCCTCTGCTACGCTGAGCGCTTTGCTCTGCGAGGACCTGAAATGATGCTCAGTGAAGCTTAAAGGTCCGGGCAGAGCAGCAGGGATCCACGTTACGCTGCAAGAGGGTCACGCAGACCACGCATGTCCCAACTCCTGCCATCAGAAGGGCTCGCAGTTTCTGCCAGAGTGCTCAGATATCGTGCTTATTTATAAAAAGAGAGCAGAAGACTCGTTCAGATAAGAGCACTGACAGCAACACATTGGAAAGGGTCAAAGCCAGCAGGGAGGCTGCTCCTTTCCTTCCTCCCATTGCAGCCGGCTTGCTGGGAACTGCCCTGTCTCGCTCCCGAGTGAAAGGAGGCATCGGAAAGAGGTCCCTTCGGCTCTCAGGACTCTCCTCCTCTCATTCCCAGCGTATTCCTGCTTCTTTCCCTGCTGGGAGCTGCCAGCGCAGGTGGGAGGAGATAGGGAAGCAGGGCTAGATCCTGCAGCGCCTTGACCACAGGGTGCAATCGTTTCCCCGCGCAGCACCACCATATCTGAGACGGGGATTATTTTTTGTTTGCAATTATACCAGCCATACAGAGGGCTGCCGCGATGGAGGAGCCAGGCACAACGGCAGCACCAAGGCAAGTCCACACCTTCAGCTTCTCCCGTGCAGGTGTAGATGGGACAATCCAATACAGAGAGCTCAAAAGAAAACACCCACAGACAGCAACGGGGATGGATTCACACTTCTAGGATCCTGCACAGCACTACTGCCCCACAAGCCTGCTGCTAATTGCCGAAACCCGGCAGCCAGTTCAAAGTCAATCAGTACCTCTACATCTCGGTCCTTCTAGTGCATGTGTTTCTGCACAGCACCTACAATTCCTAGCTTGCACACCCCTCGCCACCAATACGCATGTTCATAGTTAGCCTACTCAGAAGACAGAAAAAAGGAAGGATGTCCTTTGAAGGATGATTTTTCATTTTCTTTTCCAAACTAACTGCAATCAAAGATGTGAAAGCCAAAAGAAAATCGAAATTCTGCCATTTTTCGAACACAAATTTAAAAAGAGAGTAAGCCCTGGGTTTCCTCTTTCTTGCTTTGCCCTCACCTCCAGGTGAAAACCTAGAGAAAACAGGAAAGTGGTGAGCGGGGCTCAGGGGAAAGGACTGAAGGAAAACAAGCTGCTACAGAATTAACACGAAAACCATTCTTGGTTTTTCTTCACCAGAATACAAAATGAGGAAAGTGCCCAAAGGTGGTAATCAGCATAATAAGCTGCTGGAAAACCAGAGTGGAGGTACTCCTGTTAAGCAGAGCAAGAGGGTCAGCAGCATCACCCACGGCATGGTGGTGGCCAGGCACGTGCACGGGGCTCGGCACACGGCAGAGCTTTCAGTGGCCACATGGATAAATAAATTGTTTTGCAATGAAAAAGCAAACTTGGATCAAAAGTTTGGGCTCTGAAATGTTTCTCTACTGGGAAACAGAAAGAAAGTGTTGGAAAATGCTGAAGAGAGGCAACACTGAGAAGTTCCTCATAATCTTTACTGATGGCTAGAACTTCTCTGCTGGAAAGTTGCAGAAAGGGGCTCTTCCCAAGTTTATCACTGAAGGCAAATTCCCATTTTTTCTGTCCAGTAATGGAAATAAATTCTCGTCTGGTTTCACTCCCAGCGCTTGGGAAATGCCATTCAGCCCCTTCGACACCGTAATGAGAAATCACATTTCCCACTTCTTGTCTCCACCAAAGCCGTGGGAGAAACAGCCAGAGTGAACAGGACACTATCAAAGCCAGAGGCCCATCCTCCTTCCTGTGACTAGAAGGTGTGAAAAAAATCAGCAGGTGAAAACAATGTTGACAAATGAAGGTCAGATGGAAAGAAATGTTTTATAAAATCGGTTGCTTTTAACAAACAGTTTGGTGTTAGAAAATAGGACAGTGGGGAAATGCAGAAATTCTTAGTTCTGATGTTTAAAAAGTGCAGTATTTCATATCCAAAGTGCTGCAGGATTTTTTTCCCCAATATTATTAGGAGGACAGCTTTCAACTTTACTGTGCAGCATTTTTACCAAAAATTGACAAAAAAAAATAAGAAAAGGAGGAGATTGGAAATTATAGATTTCACACTGTGCCAAACAAAACATTTTGTTCTATCCAATATGACATTTGGATAGATTGTTTTTCCCTATTAAAAATTAAGAAATTATGTCTTCCAGTTTGCTGGAGTTGCAGACGCAAAACCAGTCCATCGGCTGGGGCGGGGGCAGAGGGGGCCCAAAAAGCCCTTTCCCAGGGGAGGTGGTCCCCAGCCCACTGGCAGCACCAGGCCGACCTCCAAGGGGCGAAGGGCTGTTGAAGCCTTCCCAGCACCGGTGTTGTGCTGGGTCACGCCACGTCCCTGCAGCACCGTCCTGCTGCCACCGGCCAGCACCAGAGCGTGCCACTCGCCCAGAGCGAATGCTGTCCTCAGCCAGGCCGAGAAATAGCCGGCTGAAATCCTAGTCATGCAAACAACAGAAGTTCCCAAATTAGATTATTTCTCAGGCTTCACTTTGGAAGGACATGCTTGAAGAAAATGGCTCCGATTCCCCGGCTCAAGCCGCGGGGCACCTGCCAACAACAACACGGCTCTGCCGGACCTTCTCCCGGCGCCCTCCGCTCCAAGTTACTAACCCACCCGTTGCAAGCACACGCATCTAGCTGCAGTTGCAATGGGTCAGGTTCCATCACTGCCTGGTGCCAGGTGAGCTGCAATCCCAGCGGAGAGCTCCTGCAAACCCGCTGCCTGGTGGGCTGCCCCAGGCCAGGCACCTTACCTCTGCCTGCTCCCCTGCCATGGGAATCGGGGAGGTGAACCGGGCCAACGTCTCCTTCTATGTCCCAGTTGCTTCCTGAGGATCCATCTCTCCCAGAGCTTTTGCGGCAGGAGGTCTCAAAGCCTTCACAGAGGTGCCGTTATCCTATCAATTGCACTTCATGCTGCAAAGGGACAGCCCATGCCCAGCATTGCACAGCTCATTGGAGCACCCTAGTCCTCCATACCTGTGTTATTCTCTGGCACCTCCAACTTTTCTCTCAAGTGCTTTCCACGCTAAACTAGAAGATGGGATTTTTCATTCGTAAAAGTGAGGGTTCCTGTTCCAAGATTCAATTTTTTTTCTTTTTCTTTTTTTTTTGAAGACATGCTCCAGTTACTTTACTGATATAAGATGAAGTGTAATTGTAAATAGTTAAGACAAATCCACAAATGGCAAGCAAATGGAAAGCCGATTAGACTGTCAGTAGTATTTTTTGTTTTCAAACTCCACTGTCTGGTTCCCAATTGATACTGAAGCATCCTAACAAAAGCTGCCAGCTTTCCAAAGGAGCTGAGCATATAGATGTCTGAGCTGCTGGTGAGGAATGAGAAAAAGCCAGCTCACTTTGATTTAAGAGGACCATAGATGGCCTCATCTGCAAGTGCTAACCTGGATCTCATCAGTCCTTGGGATAGGTAAGAATAAGCAGGGCCAATCACAAATGGATTGCAACAGGCCTGAGTCCCACATGCACCGTTTTTACCAAAAACTGGGTAAAATCTTGATTTTTCTTAGCCCAGAGCCTGGGAGACTTGTACTGGGCAGAGGCTGCAGCATGTAATATACACTGCTCCTTAAGCAGTGCCTGTCCAGCAGCTAGGAAGATTCGCACAATACAAAGCACACAAATTAGCATGGGAGATGCAGCAAAGAGAGAGGCTCAGTGCAGACTCCGAATCTGAACCAGGACTAATCTCAAGGGGAAGGTCCAGTACTAGGATCCCAGTTGGAGCCCGCCTCAGGACACACTCGCCAATGTTTGGTGGCATAAAGCCATCAGTGAAGTCCTCACAACTAGAAACATGGAAATGCCACCAAGGAGATGAATAAAAAGTAGAAGCAGAGGAAGCCCAAACTACGCACCTTGCTTTCATGGGCGAGGAAAGGCAAGACAAGAGGTACACTTCGCAAGGCAGATCTGTTGCAGACAACTCAGGCTTTTCCAGCCCAAGGTACCCAGAAGACTCTGAAAAGGCTCCACCAAATGCCTCTGACAAAACTTTCTGCTGCTTCTTAACAGTGACAGATTTGCACGTTATACGCACGCACATGTCAGCACTGACAGGTCTCTGCCTCAAAGAGGATGTATCTGCTAGCAAAGAAACCACACGGGCTACAGAAATGGGAAACACCAATAGCCCCCATTCTGGCTGAGTCCCCTCAAACTGAAAGCATGGAAAAAAAAAAAAAAAAAAAAAAAAAAAAAAAGTCATAGCAGCAACACATCCCTCTTTCCCCAGCTCTGCTAAAGCATGTCCAGTTCCCACAGCCATGGGACACTGGGCAACACTGTGCACCTGGGAAAGGAACTGGAGCCGCTGAAAGCAGCAAGTGACTCAGGAAGTGGCAAAGCATCGTGCAAACAAGGAGCAAAACTGGGGAAAATAGAACTGGCCTCGCAGTTTTGGTAGCGACTGAGATTCGGACAACGTTTGCCACCGCCTTCCAGCATGGCCTTGGGCAAACTGTCCCATCTGGTAGCATTGGTTCACCTTCCCTAGTGCTGGGGTGAGTCCCTTCAAGACTGTCCACACTTTGGGGTGGTGACTACCATTTCCAAGAGACACAGACAGCATCCCACACAGCAGAGCCCGCAGCGGGTGAGTGCAAACCTTTTTCAGCTACAAACCAAACCATATATTTAAGAGCAAGGAAGACGGGATGAAGGGAAGAGCCTGGCATGGAGGCAGGCTGCTGTCTCACACAGCAAAAATCAAATCTGACACCTTGCATTAAACGTAAGGAAGACAAATGAGTTTGTGGTTGTTTGTTGCAATGTGGTGGAGAACAGGGGAGTAAAAACAGAGGCGGAAGCTGCAAAAGGAACGTTAACACCAGATAAAACCTCCATCATAAAGACTTGTATCTCATCTATCAAGCAAAATAAGAAACCATTGCTTCCCACTATTGCGATTTTTCTCCATACCTGGGCAGGAATAAGAGGCTCTTTGTCATCAATGTCAATGAGAACGTCGTCCTTAGGCGTGAGGCTTACATCATCTGCAACAAGAGCAGCACAAACCTCACACAGACATCCAGCTACTGGAGACCACAAAGCCAAGCCACCTCAGCATCACGCTTCCAATCCTCCTGCGAGGGTCTGCACCAGAGGGGGACAGCTGGGCACCTCTGTCCCCCGGTGTCATATCAGGCACCTGATAGCCTCACACAGGGGCTCAGGCTCAAAGACACGCTCAGTCTGCGCAGGAGTGTGTCTACACGCAGTTAGTTGTGAATCTGGAGATGTTCTCCAGGCCCAGCTCCTCCTACCCACCCTGGCACGTCCCGTGGGTGAACGACACTTGCAGAGAACTGGAAGGAGCAATCTCAGCCACTCTCAGAGCCTCTGTGCTAGCCAAAGCTCATGTTCACGCAGGCCAGACAGCTCAGCCACAGGACAGCCCCGCTCACCAACAGACCCCAGAGCTGAACTCCTCTGTACCACTCGTCCCTTTTGCCTCAGGCTCCAGCTGGGCTGAGCCACCAGCACCCAGTGCAACACAGAGAGCACCCCATGGCTCCTTCCAGGTAGGAGCAGGGGCAAGGTGTGCATCAAGCAGTGGTGCTCACAGCAGCGGCGTACCTGGCTCTTCCTGGGGGCCACCCATCTCCTCCCCATAGGGGTCCCAGTAGAATTCCTCCAGCGAACGGATGGTGCACTGCCCCACCACGGGCCTTCGGCCGAACGGCCTGTTGTCGATGACCTTGATGATGATGGGGGGGCTGTACAGACTTTCCTTGGGTAGACGCTGCAGGCAGAGGGAAGGGAACATGTAACTGCACTGGGTATTGGGGGCGATGGCTCTGCACCTGCCCACAGTGAACTAAGGCTGAACAGCATAGAACTGCGTTCACCAGAGGATGCCTTTTCTACCTTCTGCCTAAGCCCCTACTGGAGCTCATTTAGGAGCCTGAAATTAGGAATGTGGATAAGCAGGGGGTTATCAGAAGTGCTGAACACCCAGCTGATGTTGGAGATGCTCCACCTGTCTCCCTTGTGCCCCTCATACCCATATCACAGCCCAAAAAAAGATGGGCTATTTCAGCCAGTGGATTGAGGAGGAAGATAACATTCTACATGGCCACTTCAGAGAGATCAGCTGTGCCCTAGACAATCAGAAAAGGAAACTTTTCTCTGTCCCCATTGCCTCTGAACTGGTTGCACCTTCCCCTGCTGCATCCCTACTGGGGAGAGTGGCTAGAGGAACAACCGCTGCATCTCACTCTGAGCGGGGCACTGGACTGATCCCCTCCAACCAGCTCTGCTATGACCCCACGTACAGGGCAGTCACAGTGTCCTCACCACTTCCATGAAGAGCACGGAGACGTCAAAGTTGGGATTTTTCTTGACATTCTTGATGACACAGGACTGCACGAGCTGGCCTCCGCACTCCACTAGCAGGCTGGGTGACGTGACACTGGCCAGCTGGTAGCTCTTGAGGTTCCTCAGCCCCCATGCCAGGATCTGCAGGGGGAGGGGAACAGGTAGCAAAGATTGAGCTAAAGGTCCACCTCTAGGTCTGCCTCCAGGCTCCTTGGGAGCAGAGGTAACCCTGAAGGTTGGCCCACCATGAAGGAGAACTGTATCACCCGTGTGGGTCAGCTGCTGCTGGGAGAAGCCAGCTCTTACAGCAAACATTTCTCTGTATGCACCAATACCTCAGGTCCACAACTGCTTATCTATTAGTGGAGCATCTCTGTTTTGGGCAAGTATCATGCAGCTGCGAGGCAAACTGTTTGTCTGAAAAGCAGGTATGGTCCAGGGCCACGCTCTGCCCTAAGACCTGGCTGCTGTAATATCTGCCTTGGTGAGACTTGTTTTCCCAGCAAGACACCCTGGCTACACTGAGGGAAGCCCTGACGGGAAATAGGGGTCACTGACAGTTGTGTGGCAGGAAGAGAAGATAAAATGGAAACCTACTGGTCATTAAGGCAATTATATCCAGTAGGAGATGGAAGGAATTGTTGGCTTTCCAGGCAGAGCAATCCTAGAACAAAGCTTGCTCTGTTATAATGGTTTAAAGAGACATTTTGGGGCCGACATCTGTGTGTGCAGAACCAGCTTACAGCACTGCGTTGGACTATTTATCCACAGAGTCTGACTTGGATCCCATTTCTGGACCTCAGCGCCTCCGTTGGGGGTACATAGTCCAGAACACACAGTTGGACTGGCTTTATTCTGCAAGCTGGCAAGCTGCCCCACGCCCATCCTCATCACTTACCTCGATGGCAGTGCGCTGCAGCGCTGGTTTGATTCCTTGGGGGACCATGTAAATGTTGGGCTCCCGCTGGGGTGGGGGATACGGCAGGTCCGAATCAGCAGACTGCGAGAGAGCAGATGTCCAAAAAACCACATCAGATCAGGCTGGGGTGGGACACCAAGGCCATCGCCCCCCAGAATCTGCTTCCCTCTGTGCAACTCATCTGCTCGCCAAAGAGCGCTTAGACAGCATTTCTTCCACGTAGGACCACTATGAAGTAGCTTTGGGGAAGGAATGAAGAGAGGGGACAAAGCAGCAGCAGTAGGTGAGTTAGAGTTAGTGAAACTCCTGGCACTGGATAGGGAACAGGATGCTGTAACCCACTCCTGAGGGACAGCAGACATGGTGATGAGGACAATGCTATGGACGCAGGGTTAGCGTCCCACCCGGCAGGAAGAAGGTGGACGCTGCTCATCAGCTGCATCCAAGAGCTCAGTTTCAGTCTCACCTGGCAGCGGCCAAGCTTCAGGATATGGGACAGCGCTCAGATAGAGCTGTCTGCACACAATGTAAATCAAAAGCAATTTCCTTCAGGGTGAGACTAAAGCTGCATGACAGGTGAAGGAGTTAAAATTTTGCTCTCACAGAGAAGAAAATTCTGCTTCTGCTCTCAAAGGAATGTCTCTGAGCCCTTCCAGCATTTGGGCTCCTCTTGACCTTGATTGTTGAGTTCAGAGTCACCGAAAAAGCACGAATGAGAGCAAAACCTCTAAAAATGCATCCCTCGACCAAGGGCAGTTGGAACCAATTTAGGAGACCAGCATTCTTTTCAGGCTCGAGTATTATTGCATTAAATTAAGTGGGTGTATATATTTCAAGTATAGGATTGGTTCAGGTTTATATGTATATGTATATAAATGCACTACAAAGGGATTTTTGCATGGTGGCATGTTAGATGTACTAGACGCTAAGCTTTAATTTTCATTGGCAATTGCTGGTGGCTGCTGAATCAAGCTGCTTGTTAGCTGAAGACTTTGGCTAACTCTGGTCGGGGGCAGCTGTTTGGGTTCCTGTGCAGGGCAGCCAGTAAACTTGGGGCACACAGCCCCACTGAGGCTGCCCACACGCTCACACCACCACCATGACGCCCCCAGCCCTGGGACCAGGGGACACGTGCCTCAAGGGATAGCGCTGATGGGGAGAGGGAAGGTTATCTGGGAGATTAGCGCCTCATGAGGGACACAGGAGAGAGGTGTGGGGCATCTCCAGCATCATCTGGGTGCTCGGCACTTCCGATAACCCACCTGCTTGTTTAAATTCTTAATTTTGGTCTCTTAAATTAGACTTTGCACCATGAACATGAGCTGATCCTGCCTTGGGGTGGAGGGATAGATAGGATGGCAAGTTAAGGGCTACTCCCAGCTTTTTTTTGTCCGTGGTCCATAGCACTAGCACTTGGAGCACATCAAGGTGTATAAGCACGGGCTGAACCAAGAAAAGCCTCAGTTTATTCCCATTTAGTGAAATGCTTTAAGTTCCCACTGAGTTCCTAGCTTTAAACATGTTTGGGTCATGTTTTTTTCAGCAAGTGTCAAGCCTACACTTGTACACGGTGCTGAGCACCGACGTACCCATCAAATTACATGCTCCCCTGCACATGAAACAAGAGAAATGCAGAGCTGGAGAAGTCAGACAGTGCATCTCCAACCCCCAAGGCTGGCTCAAGCATCTCACAATCCCTTTGAGACATCTGTGCAGTCTGTTTCCAAAAAGGCCCCTCTGGAAACTCTGTGGTCTCCCCAATGTCATCATCCATAGCATTAGGGTGGTTTTTTTCCCCTAACAAGGCACCTAAATCTTCACTGGTTCAAATGATGTGTTGCATTTCCTCACGGTCGTTGGACTAAAGATCAATTGAATCAATCCATTCCCTGGCAAATCTGTAGCGTAAAAAGGCAGGCAGCCTTAAAAGGAGAGATTTCGATTGCCCTCATCCCTCCTGTGTTCAAGAGTAGCTTTGAAAGCCAATCAGCACATGCCTGGCTCCTAATGCTGCAATGCCTTCAACTACCACTAGTCTGTTTTAAGTCCTTTTCCATCCCTGCTGTTCTCCTGGTTGCTTTGCAGTGGTTCTCCTGAATCCCAGCTGAATGAACAAGCATTAAATGTTTCAGCATACTAGGAGAGAAATGATCAGTGAGTCCTGGGGACAAGGCAGGTGAAGGGAGACATCCTGGAGGGTACAGCATGGTAGTGGGGAACAAGCAATTCCCAGACAGCTCTCAATTCAGACACTACTCTCAGCAGATTGGAAGGAGGAGACATCCATGAAAAGGCATGGGGGGGGCCTACTGGCAGGATGGGATAGTTTGAATGAGGATAGCTTGGTGGGAATCAGGGTGGAAGGGAACCCTGGAGATCATCTACTCCAACCCTAACTTCCATCAGGAATGGAAGAAAGATGAGCAAAAGTCAACGCAGACTTGGATGGTTGAGAGAGTGGCTGGAAGAGTCTCACACATGGCACAGCTGGGCCATGCCATTGCCTGAGAGGCTTCAATGCAAATGCTTAGAGGTGATCTAGCCCCAAAAGGCTACTCCTATTTACTCCAGACCACAATGTAGTAGAACGAAGTCTGATGCCAGCTCAGTCCTTATATGCATCACCAACTCCACGAACCTGATTCTCCACAGGGCTTGTTATTTACAGCTAAGAGCACGGGAGACTTCAGGCCAGCATACTCTTTACAGGCAACCTCAGTGGGTTGGTTTGGATGGGGTTCCTGCAGGGCAGGTGGGCCAGGCCAGACTGTGTCTCAAGAAGCTGGTCTCTTTGAGAATCTCTGTTGGGATTTTGCTTGATTCGAGGGCAAAGGTGGAGGAAAATAGGAAAGTCAAGTGTTTGAGCATAAAAGTACCCGTTGGAGGAGCCCCTCGGAGAACAAGGCAGGGGTGCAGAGCTGTGTGGAGTGCCCATCCCAGAAATGGCAGTAGCAATAAAGGGAGGAGAAAAAGCAGAGAGATGGTTACTGTCTCAGCCCATGTGGAGCACAAAGATGAGCCCTCCCTCACCCTTCCCAAAGACAATGAATGGAGGTCAGCAGAGGGCAGATTTTATGCTAAAGAAAGCAGCATTTCCACTGTTAGGAAAGGCTCTTTACGTGGAAGAAACCCATTTTGCAAAAATGTGTTTATCCCATCCATCCTTTCATGGAAACGTGGCCAGGCTGTACGCATATCCCAGGTCTCTCATAGCTTCTCTCCTAGGCTTTGGGGATAACTGAGCCCTGTGGCCACCACAACATCCAAATGACCATGTGCCTCACTCAGCGTCCTGCTTCAGGCTCTCCAAGATACCAGCCTACCCTGACACAGGCCTGTTCAGCTGGTGATCAACTCTGCAGAACAGCACAGGGTCTGGGTAGCAAGTTCGACAGGCAGCCCAAGCCAGCAGCTTAGGATCCCGAGGAAGGTGTTTTGTTCAGGGTAACTGAAACACTCCAACACGTGTGTGTTTCTGAATGAAACACTGCTGAATTCCCATGAAAAGTTGCAAGGTTTGGGTTTTGCAACTGAAACACACTGAAACAACTCCCTGGACTGACAAGGGTTCAAAGAAGAAAGTCAAGCTCTGCATCTCAGCAGTATGAAGCCAAGTGCCCTTCAGGTGCCTTCTTGCAGAAGGCCAAACTAGGGGATCAGTCAAGCCCCGTAGTCAAAATCCCCACCACAAACCCCACAGCCCAGTGTCCTCTCCAGATGCAACCACCTTATGAATTCCACATTGCTTGCACCAGCCACCTTATCAGAGGAGGATTTTAGCTGGAGCAGAGGTCTAGCCAAGGCCAGTGCAGTGCTTCTGTTATTGCATGCTTTGTTTGCAGGGGTTAAACACTAACAGATCTCATGCACGCGTATTACACCTGGGTTAAATGTTACCCTATGCACCCTGATACCAGGAACATTTACTGGGTCAAGCATAGAGCCCAGGTACCCCATCCTTTTGGTGATCCTTAATGTCACAAAAATCCTGATGCTATTGATTTGACTCATCCAAAAAGAAGTGGCTACTCTGTGGGGGCACAATTGTAACTACATCCCCGATGAAGAGACAGTTAAATCTTATAGACTCACCTCATCCAGACTGGCAGACAGCTCGTTCTGGAGAAGAGAAGGAAAATACAGAATTAGACCGGCTTTCATCTAGAGCCCACCCTAGGGCTTACAATTGCAACAGACACAATAGAAAAACCTGGGGGGAAGGAGGGGTGTTAATCTAGCTCCCGACCACATCTCAAGTCTAGCCGAGGACATATGTGGATAAACATATGCCGTATCTTCTGTGTGCAAGCTTCGCTCACCCCTCACTGTCCTTCACGTACTCCAGACCAAACTTCTCCCACCTTGCACCTCTGCACTACTCCAGCAGCTCCCTGGAAGGGGCTGAGACCAGACCACGCAAGGCAGGAAAGCATCAGCACGCCTGGTTTGCTTCACGTCCGGAGGACTTCTCACAGTCTCCAAGGACACTTTTCAAGTTCCTGCCTCTCCCCTAGGAAGGGCCCAATTTGCCCGGTTTGAGAAGAAAGCAGTACTGTTAACTTTAGTATCAGTTAATGCCTTTGCTCAGCAGGGCTGCAGGGTAGGAAACATGCTGGGGCAGCTGGGAAGAGCAGCCCTTCCACACGGCCCTGCTGAAACTGTCTCAGGGCAGAAAGGTAACGCTGTATTTGAGACCCAGGGAATGATATCTATAACGGGTTTCATTTGCCCTGTCTTAGGGGTCAAAAATGAGATGCTTCAGTCACTGCAGCTCTCTTCACTGTCAGCTGAAGGAAATTAGCCTCTCTGCATGGGGACTGCCCTGTCCTAAGAGAGGACAGACAAACTGCATCCTGCAGGTGGAAGCAGAAGCAGGGCCACAGGTGGGATCCAGGCAGGAAGCTGTGCAGGAGCATTTGTCGGAGCTGGGACTCAGCAGCTCTGCAAGTCGGAGGGGACAGTACGAGGGGCCCGGGACATGAGCGCTGCAGACAGGAGGACGGCATTACCTCGAAGCCAGGGATGTGATGGACGGCCGGCTGTGGGAAACAAACACACACACTTTCAGTTTGCACTTCCCATTAGCATCTGCGGGGGCAGGCCCCACTGGCCAGCGCGGCACCCCGAACTGTGCAACGGCCAGGCCTGCTGCTTTGCAGGGCTGCTCCTTCCCCGACCGCCACGCAGGAGCCTTGCGGACGTGCGAAAAGGCTCATCCCTCGCCCTCGCTGGGCAGCAGCTCCTAACCCCCTGCAGGAGCATCACGCGCTATGGGGAGCATCCTCGCGGGAGCAGAGCCGAGACCCACGGCCCCGGGGGGAGCTGTACACCCCTTCTTGCCCATTAGCACCTCAAGGCTGGGAGGGAGAAAAGGCAGGAGGAGAATTAGCCCTCGGCTCCATGTACAGAGGCAAATCTTGGCAGCAGCCAGCCCCTGCGGCCAGTGGAAAACCCAGAGGTGAAAAACACGTGCGTGCACAGAGACGGTGAGGGTGGGAAGCTAAGGAGAGCACACGGGGTACGAAGAGGAGCCTCTCCTGCCTGGGCTGGCTCCCAAGCACAGCCTTGCTCCCCTGTGGCTCATTGCATGAATAGCCAGCACTGAGTTCGGCTGTTTGCTACAGAAGTAACCGCCTGCTCGAGCTTTCATAAATCCCCTCCGGAAATTAATTCTGTGCTCTGAGCAAAGGGCAGTGATTTGGGGCTGAATGCGCTGGGCTCTTTGCACAGCACAAAGGTGCCAAGGCTCTGAGCTAAGCCCTGAACCCAGCCAGGCCAGCGGAGCTGCAAGCAGCACCTCCCCAACAAGCAGCCCCGCCGCCAAGGCTTTGCTTTGCACTGAGCCCAGTCCCTCTAGCACTGCAAGATGCCTCCCAGTGCCCGGCTGCTGCTGCAGGCAGCAGCCACATCTCCTTAGAGCAGCCTTCCTCCGGCAGAATCAAGGGCAGGCAACTGGAGAGCTGCTCCAGCAAGCTGAGCCCAGCTGGGTGTAACGCAGCATCCAGCAAAGGTACGATCCTGCTGGGTCCTGAGAGACCTCAAGGGAAGAATCCAGCCCTGCAGCCCTAGGTGCAATGAGGAGCTCACCTTCTCTCTCTGAATCAGCTCGAAGGCAGCAAGCAGCTCACCAGCGTTTCTGTTCGCCTTGATGACTGGGTGCCAAGAGAGTCTCGGTGAGCGCACCAGGCTGGGCTTGCAAATGCAGCGCCCCATGAACTCGTCTGCGCCCTGAAAGGAGATTGCAAGTGCAGGGCGGTTTCTGACCGCCCCAGGGCAATTCACCCTGTTTGTGCCCATCTGTGTCACTCAGCCAAAGCCTCATCACTCAAAAATCCGGTCCAGTGTCTGAAACTATTATGTGATCAGCTCAAGGAAAAGACGATTTTGGTGCCTTTACCAGATTCAGATTTTCAAGTTTTTGCCTGTAACTACTAGCGCTTTTTCTTGTGCATTTTGCTTCAACAGAAGATGAAATTCCTATGGTTTCACACAGCTTCCCAGAACAGGAGCTCTGAGTAAAACATTAAGTATCAGCAGCTCTTAAGAGACCAGTTCACTGGGCTGAAACTGCCTTCTCAGCTGCATTTGCTGCTTTCTTCTGGCATCTTTTGGAGGAGGGAAGGTAGAAGGAGTTGGGAGCCAGACTCCTGGGCTGGGCAAGCTAACAGCTACGGGCTCCGTTACAGGAGCACAGCGGAGCGCTCTTACAAGCACTGAAATCCCTTCTGCTCTTGTAACAGGCGACAGTCAAGTTTTTCTAGGAAGGATCCAGGATTATCTCATCTCCCCCCTTCCAAATGACATCACTACAAGGCACTTTGGATGCCTTTGGGCAGCTATGCAAATAACACTGTCTGCTTCCCCTACTTCCATGACTGCTTTAAATCCTGCCATGACTTCTCCCCTCAAACAAATATAGTTAATTTGACCGCTCTGCAAAATATGATGTAGACACAGCTTTGGTAACTAAAGCAAGGCCATCGAGGACATCAGTGACGGAGCTGTATGCTGAAGCTATATCTTCTGTGTTTTTCACCTCTGTGCCCGGCACACTCGCTCCCCGAGGGCCCGGCTCATGCTGACACACTTACGTAGGTGTCGTGGTCGTAGATTTCCACCACAATGTTGGGAGGGGAGTCAGATACGTTCTGGGGGTCCCCGAAGATCTCTATCTCATAGAAGATGAGTGTCTGGTCCCAGGTGGGGTTCAGGGTGTTCTTGATCACCACTGTCTTCTGGCTTTGGTGGAGAAAGGAGACGATGGCATAAGGATCTGCAAGACATGTTAGACAAAGTGTTAAGGATGAATTAGAACTACCAGTCTAAGGAAAAAGCAATTAACAGAGCCATACAAGGGCCAACAGGCTGGACAGCGAAGGCAGTGAACAGCCCAAGGGAGCTGTGGGTCTTTTAGAAACAGCAATGGCATTCCCATCATGTCCCAGGCAACTCCAACTGAAATAACCATCTCCTTTGGAGGCCAAGAATATTCCCAGTGGCCAAAGACCTGAGGAAGAACTGGGGCTGGCAGGGTTCTCAAGAGTTCATTTAAGCCTCCTGCACAGTCCAAGAGGGGAAAAGCTCTGCTACATCACCCTGACAGAAGAAAGAACCCAAGTGGAGAGCGGGTACTGGGTCATCTCTGCAATCCATTTCCCCATTACCTTGTCTTCGACTGTGACCATAAGCAAAATCCAGGGAAGACAATAAGGACAGGCTCTCTGATGCTTACCCTAAGACACTAGTTATTTTCAGCTCTGGTACTTCCTGAGCTAGATGTGATATCTATAAGCTTAGTAACCCTGTCCAAAGATTTGTCTTCCATAGACTTATCCTGTGTCCCTTGAACCCTCCCACCATGTCCCTTGGTGAGGATTCAACAATGCATGAAGAACCACCTCCTTATGTTTGCACTGGACCTGGCTCCTGCTATCTTCTTCTGAGGCGCCCCAGCTCTTGCATTAGAAGAAAGAGGAACGGTTCACCCAACCCACCTGCACCAGCACAGAACTCTGCAGATTTCTATCAAGCTGCCCCTAAATTATCTATTTTTCAAGCCGAAGAGTCTCAGCCTACCAGCCTATTCCTCGTACAGAACCGTTTCAGACCTTTGCTCGTTCCAGCTCTTTTTGGGGACAAGACAACCGCAACAGCCCACATCGCTTCAGCTTCAGCTATTTATCCATACAAAGGCCTTCCTTTTTATCCTATGGTTCCTTCCTTTCCTTAGAAACTTTTGATGAAGGATTTTTGTCAAAACCCTTTCAGAAAGCTAATGAGACCATATTAACCAGAGCAGCTCTATCTGTCTAGCCTGTGTATATCTCCCATTGGTGGAGGCTCCATGACCTGCGCCAGCCACAATTCCCAGCGCTTCAGTGCTGTAGTGTTAGAGATTTCCTCACTGGCCAGCTTGACCCGTCTTGCTCTGTGTTATCCTCATGACTCCTCACCCTGTCTACCAGGAGTGAGGTTGTGCAAACGGCTCATCTATTGGCTTAAGATGTGGTTTGTGCCTCAGGCCATTGGCTTGCAGCCTCGCTGACTGACCCGAGAGCAATGTGGAAGGTCAGCTTAACCGGCCATAACATTCCCTCCTGGCTTTCCAAAAGACGACTTTACCATGATGAGTGTTTCAGTGATGGTAACGCAGCTGTCTTCCAACACAGCGAAGAGCACAAACTGTGTCCACAATGCAAATAGCCTTCCTGAGGAGATGGACAAGGTACCAGCACTGCACAGCCACATGGGTGAGCAGGGACTTAAGGTCAAGTCCTGCTGTGAAGAGCAGAGCCTGGAGAAGGCGGCTGTGATGTTACTGCCTCCTTCCTAGGATCTTTGACTGCTCCAGAATGCTCAGGAGTTGAACATGCTGCCAGCAATTAGTCAGTATACTCATCTCTCAGCGGGAGCTTCAGCAGCCTCTAGGTCTCAGGGAGAGATTTTGCTTGCCAGCACTTTCGGTTATGCCACCTGGCCTCCAGCTGCCACACCAGATGGCTCAGGGTCTCCCATAGCCTGGAGTGTCATATCTGCCAGCTCTGTGCCAATGTCTTAGGTGCTCCAGGGTGCATCATTAGACCCTGCAATTAGGCACAGAGTTGGGCCTGAGGTATCTTACCTCTAACTTCGAGCAAACCCAGAGATTTCACACCACGAGGCAGAAGCAAACAGTGAGAGTGGCCGCCTTTAATAAGCACAGCAATTAACACAGGAAGCCTGAAATCAATTAACAGCAGAAATGTGAAATCTGATTCCTCTCTAACACCTTCCCTCCCAAACAGTGTCAAAGACCCAGCAGCCAGGATCCAGCCTGCTACGGCAGCACTCGAAGAAAGGACAGACGGACAGCAGAACTTGTGTCGAGGGCTGCTTGAGAGGCTCAAAGCATGCCATGCAATTATGTCGTAAGACCTTGTGAAGACTAAACACCTTCTATTACCTGGCAGCATCTACCGGTCCTTGCCAGGGATGAGCACACCACAGTTAAGGAATCTCATCTGCCTCGTCCCCAGCAAGCCCTGAGCTCTTATTACCTACAAATCCCAATTCCATGGGGGCAAGAGGTATCACGAGCCTCACTGGAAGGACACAGGCCACCTCCTCTGCCGAGCCAGGCCACTGCAAAATGCCAATGCATCGGGTCTTGGGGTCCACCAGCACCCACGGGGGTACCAGATGGGTCACCTTGAAGCCAGTCCCCAAAGAGGTGCTGAAGGCTCGGAGCGTGGACGGCTTTGTACTGCTGTTAAAATGAATCCTGCCTACCGTGGGCATGGAGTGGCATCCCTCCGTCACCTGAAACAGGGCCTGGCTGGGCAGGGAGGCACCCCGCAGCCTCCCTCCCCTCTTCCACAGGTCAGGGCAGCAAGGGGAGATTATTTTCTTTCTTGGCGTCCAGGCTGAAGCAGACGTGTTTAATGAGCCGGGGCTGTTTGCGAGGTGATCGGCTGCAGAGAGCACTATTCACGCTGGGAAGAACCTTTTCCACTTACGTGCTTTTTTCCAGTAAGAGGAAAGCAGAATGCGTTACAATAAACAAAAAAACCATGGATTTGGATTTGCTTTTTTGCTTTTTTTTATTTCTTCTTTTTAAAGGAGGCCTCTATAAAGCCCCTTTGTTTAGACCCTCGTGTGCACAGAAGGTTTATTTTTATAACTGTGTAAAGCCCCCTTAATGAACTCCTTTATGCTTTGTTAAGGCAGCGGAGATCACAATTCCACATTGTAACATGTTGTTGCTCATGTTGTCCTTGGCTGGGTTTTTCCGAAGGAAGGGACTCCCCTCCCTGCTCCGCCAATCGGGGCCATGAGATCACCCCTGTCCCCACCACTTCCAACAACAAACCCATTGTGGAGGCGGTGGTGAGCAGGGATCACGCTGGACGCTGACACCGGGGCGTTGCTTGGGTGCTCCAAGCCTCTCTGGGCCTGCTTGCCCACCCCTGGCGTCTTCTGCTTCAAAATGCCCGGAAATCCCATCCCAGGGCTGTCAATTCCATGTTTACCCACGCGGGTGATACCCGCCAAGGCCCCCTGCCTCAGACACGTGGGATGGCCTTGCAGGGATGCAGCAGTCCCTGCTACGTGTGGGCACGGCTGCAGAGTGAATGGGGCCACTGGGGGCTCTCCGGGCGCTCCAGGGATGCCGGGACCTGCTGGCATCCCAGACGCAGCCCTGTCTGCTAGTGATGGCACTGGCTGTTCCAGTGCAGAGCAGCAAATCAATGGTCACCGACTCCAGCGGCCGCTCATGCCACTGCTCCCTGCTACAAGCCAGCATCACCTGCAGCTTCCCGAAGGGCCTTTTTGCGTTGCCTCAATTCCTCCTGCAATTAAGGAGGAAGTAGCAACATCCCCACTTTCCTGCTTCTTCACCTGAAAATGACACTCCTGAGCATTAACCAGCACGGGCAGTAGAGGCAGCATCGGTCACAAGGACCAAAGAGCTGTGCCCAAGGAGAACAGCTCAAAATTCTGCTCTGAGAGCTAGGAAAGGGCTGCGAAAAGCTGCTGGTGCGTGGAAGAAGGCCCACAGGTCTGCTCCAGCTGGGATGTCTGGGACATTCTGGCTGCCCAGGTGGGACAGGGCTCCACTGAGCTCCTGCTCCTCGAGGTGGCCACGTGGGAATGGAGAACCATACTTGTCACCTCCTTCCACCTCCCTCCTAAAATCAAACCACCTTCATTGCCAAGCAATCGCAAAATAGCCAAACAGACAATGTGAGGCGTCTTTTTCTAACCTGGTTTCCTAAGCAAGAATACGTGACCTTTCCTTGCTGAAACATCTCCCCCACTGTCACAAGCCAAATCCAGCCTGGGGGAGACACTTAGCACAGACAATATCGACTGCAACAGTTAAAGTGCAGCAATTTTTTAAATGACTGAAAACACATACCCATAAGGGAAAGCATTGGGCTGCTTCAGCTTGTTTCAGAGTTATCAGCTGTGCTGGAGACGTGTTTAGCAGCATGGAAAAGCTCCTCACTCAAATCACAAAACACCCTTTTTTTCACCTGGGACCAATTTTTTTCACGAAGGGGCATTTTTTACAATTCAGTTGCAAGGAAGTATGGTTCAGGTGTCAGCTCCATTAAGAAAAACACTCCCAACCTTTGATTCCCAGCCCCCTCGCAAAGTTTTCAGGGTGGATAACGGAGAAGCTGCCCTAATTTAATGTTTGGCAGTGAAAATAAATATGAACCATTTTACAGGTTTGCCACTGTCAGGTATTTTCTTTTCCAAGCCGTTTTTCAATCAATTCTTTCATTCACAATAAACAGAGCATGAGCAAGAGTCTCCCTGTTGGGAATGGCTCCTCGACTCAAGGCAAGCCCGGGACCATGAAGTCCCAGACCGTTTCGTGGTGAGGAAGAGGAGATGGAGGAGGGAAGAGAAGGGCAGGCTTGGGGGAGAAGGGCGTAAAGCAGGCAATGGAAAGAATGATGTTCTTTCTTCATCCCATTTCAGCACGCGCTGATTTTGTGCATTCCCCAGTGTTTTGTTAACGTAAAAGTTCCCGGGCCAGACTCAGAGAAGAAATTCCCTTTCAAAACTCCCTCGGCTCTGCTAAGCAAACAGAAAAGGGAACAAGAGAAAGGTTTGCCGGGAGGAGAGGAAAAGCTGAGGCGTCGAATCCCCTTACAGGTCTCATGTGATAAATAAACCAAACGGACCCAGCAGAGAGGTTATCGTTGCGACGCAGGCTGTGACAGCAGCCACTGGGAGCCCTCGTCCCAAATCGTGGCAATCTGCAAACCCTCAGCCGCCGGCTCGATGCAAGAGGGGGGGTTTGCGTGGCGGCGCAGGCTGTGACACCAGCCACTGGGAGCCCTCGTCCCAAATCGTGGCAATCTGCAAACCCTCAGCCGCCGGCTCGATGCAAACCCACCACGCACATGCTGAATCCCTCTAGCAGACTGTCACCCCAGCATCACTGAAGCAATACTATGTGGCGTGGCCAGGTCAACACGGCAGCCCACAGGCCCTCCTTCACCTCCTGGTCCCCACACCAGAGGCTCTCCATAGCCTTGGAGCTACACTGGGTCAATTACAGTTTATTCCACCTCCAGCAAAACCAAGGGCTCCTGCTAAATGGAGAGGTCTTGCTCTCCCACCTTTGGCAGCCCATGGCCGCACAGTCCCACTCCTTTCCTCCGGCCAGGAGCCGGAGCTAAGCTCATGGCTTAGCTCGGGCCCTACTGGGACACCTGCCCATGCAAGGGGTCTGCCACAGCCTGTGGAGACACTGGCATGCCAGGCAGTGTCCTACAGAGGTGACAAAGGAGCGATCTCGGAGAACCATCCTGCCATACCTAAACCCAAACCTTGCTTCGCGCTGCTGCCAGAAACCACCGGCTTGGCTTCATGCACCCCAAAGTGCTCAGGGGCTGGTGCAGCCCAGGATGTTGCTGGTAGTGGGGAGGATTTGGAAGGCATTTTGCCACCACAAGGGCTTGTCCAGAGAAGGAGATTAGGTTTCCTTAAGAGTTTTCCCTGCCAGAGATGAGCTCCTCAACCTTTCTACTCACTAGGGGACATCCCCTTCCCAGAAGCGGGCACAGGACCTAGGCAGCCTCCCACCTGATCCCTTCCTCAAACCACATGACAAATCCCCTCCAGAAACCTCAACAGCAAAACTCCCATCCTCCTGCTCTGGTCTTGTCATGTGAGGACAAGCAAGAATGCCACCAGGATTTGACCCAATTCGAGAAAGCTGGATGCTTTGCACATGTGCCCAAGCAAAAACTTCATGAGGACAGGGGGAGATGGTTCCTGTGTGTCCAGAGGCACTAGTTACACCCTTGCACCCATTTTCATTTTTCCAAGCACATTGCAGGCAGCAGACTAGGGATCTGCCCTGCTCTCCACCATTGCAGCATCAGCCCAGAGCCCTCCATCCACTACGCATTCACGCAGCTCACAGGCTGCACAGGGACAAACGAGAATGAGGCATTCTGCCACTGTAAATATTCCTGCCCTTCATTTTGTTTTTATTTGTCGTGCCCCTGAGCCGTCCGCTACCCAGCCTTGCCGCTGGCTTTCAACATCACCTCAGGTCTGGGAGAAGGAGCTATTAGTAAAGCAAACAGCCTCTGACTCACGACTGACCTGGTAACTTGTGGTTTCTGCCTGGTTTCTCACATAAGAGTTTCTTGAAACTCTGATTCTTTTGCTGATGAGAACCGAGTTACTGAACTAGTTTCTTTAGGAAAACTCACGCATCTCTTTCTGATACGCATGTAGAACATACCTCATTTCACTTCAATAAATACCCCAAAAGTCCAGAAGTTTGCCTTACAGACCCCTCCGCTCCCTGGCATTCACTACAGCACTAAGGAGCTGCAAGCACATGTCTAGGTGCTTACCTGAAAAGCTGTCCTTGTCCATGGCAATCAGATCCCGAGCTTGGTACATATAGCAGCGGAGGTGATATCTGTTCCCATCTGTATGTCAGAAACAGTTAAGCAGGATCTTGACCGATTAACCAGCGCAAGAGCGCCAAGCCTTGGGAAGAGTCCAGGGCACAGGTGTGGAATAGCTCCTTGCACATCAGTAGCTGGATTTTTATCCACTACCACCATGCTAGTGTCCAAGGGGAGATTGGTTTTATCCTCCCCATGCTGACAGCTCTTCTTGGCAAAGCCCAGTGCCCTGAGCGTATCGATAATTCCCAGCGGGACAAACCTTGCCATATTCTTGTCCACCCCCCTCTTCACAGCCACCTGCACTCAAGCTGAGTAAGAGGAAAAGGATGGCAAACGTTCAACCAAGGGGTCCCACAGTGGAGACCCCACGACCACAACATGAGGACATGCTACACAGAATTTTACCCTTCCCACAGAGACTTACAGTCAAAAATGCAGGAAATGGTGGGTCTGTTGACACCAAAACTCAGAGTAGAGACAGATTTGCCATCGTCGCTCTTGTCGTCTGTCACTCCCCCCTGCAAGAGAGAGCAACACTGCTTCAGTCAGGTCGGGGTCCCTCGGTTGGGCCGGAACCCCTCGTTTCTCTCCTAGGAGGAGCAGCCACAGCTGCAGCCAGTGGCTGGGGGCCTGAGCAGCTAGGTGAATAAGAGGATGGCACACACCAGGAAGACTCGGGGCTGAGCTTCGCACAGGGCGCCGAGTTGGAGCCTCTGGGTTTACTGGGAGCAAAGAGGTTCGACTAGAGGAGGAGGGCATCATCTTGTCCAACTCTGAGGACGCCTTTCCTGCAGATGTCCAAGAGGACTTTGGGCTTCCGACAGCCTCCTATCAGCCTGGGAATTTCAGGCTCTCCTGCCTCTACAATCGGAGAGAGGACCTAGATCCCAATCCCTGCCCTGCCAGGAGAATGGAAGCAGCCCAGGATTCGGGCTCCTGGGGATCCCACTGTGCCTCACTGGGACCCTTTGCCCCCCCAATCCCAGCCCTCTGAGCTGAGGGCTGATGGCTCAGGAAATGGAGGCCACAGGCCCAGCTCCCAGGATTGCTGCTGGTGCAGCTCGGCTGGCGCAGAAACCTCAAGGCACCCTGAGGATGGAAACGAGTGCAGCAAGCAGAGGCGGTTCGGGCAGCAGGAGACACGGCCCTGGCTTAGCCCTCCCTGCCGGCGCAGCCAACAGGTCCCTAGTTCCCTCCTGTCTCCCACCGTTTTGCCAGGAGGCTGTTCACCGGCACAGGAGAAAAGCCACGCCATGAAGCGCTTGGTTGCATCGCTCTGCTCTTGGGGCAGTAGTTAGCAGCTAAAGCAATTTCACTAAGTCTCCCTGTGAGTAAAATTAATGGAGTATAAACTTTGTTAACAGTGATACAGATGGTGTCAAATGCAGTGAAATACTCCATTCGCTGCTTGAAAGGAGTCTCGTCCGACCTTGGCCAACTCTCTTTCCTCTTCTTGTCTTTGCGTGTGAGAGCGGGCCTTTTATCACCTCCTAATTGCCATATTTGACTTGAAATGTTTAGCTGCAGGAAAAGGAGCATAAAGATAACTTCCTGGCTAGTGTAAATCTGATCTTTAAATATTTTCAATTATCAAATGCTAAGGAGAGACAGTAGGGGTATTTAAAAAAAAAAAAAAAGAAGGGAAGGGAAGGGAAAAAATTGGGTCTGGGATGGAATTTCCAGAGCCCTGAGCTGCTTGGTCCCAAAGAAGTGTCAAGAACTTAGGTGGTCTGAAGAGCCCTTTTTGCCTTTCCAAAACGCTCCACGGCAGGAATAGCAATTACCGTGACATTGTCTGCAGAGGAAGCCCTGGGGTTTGCGGTGCACTATATTTACGACAATTAGGTCATGCCGAGTTTTTTAAAGGCTACCTCCAAAGTTCCCGTTTCTTTCCTCCCTCTTCCCCTCCCCAAAGCCTTCCCCCTTCCCCAGGGCCCAAGCTCCCTTCTCCTCCAGAAGAAGGCAGAGCCCTGGCCCGCGTCTCAGGAATGCGCGGGGAGCTGAATAGCTCCTCAGTTATTTTTATGACCTTTCCACCAAACGGCCAGCCTTGCCTGGCACACAGCCCGCAGTCTGAAAATATCACTCGGCAAAGACCTCCCCGAGGTGCTCTGCACTGTCTCACGGCTGTGCCGGGACATGGAGCGGGCCACTGGTCCTTCCCATCACCCCTCAGCCATGTCCCACTTCCAGCCAGGAGAGGAGCAAGTAGAAGAGGCAGGGAGCAAAGAGGACAATGATGAATCCCTAAGCAAGGGACCGGAGATTCTCTAGGTGCCTCCAGCATGGGTGGGGGGGCTGTCCTGAAAGACTGTCCTCTTTGACCATGGGCTTAATCCAAATTTCCTGAAGCTGATGCCAATGCCTTCCACCAATTCATTGGCAACAAGGGGCTTGCAAGCAGAAACCCTTTAGCAGCTAAAGACTGCAAAGTCAGTCTTGAAGAGGACAAACGTGGAAAAGTATCTTACTTATGACTATAATTTGACTTTTTGGGCCCACACACAGGATAAACCGCCTCCCAAGATCCCTTCCCTTTATCCTCTTTGTCACGCAATGTGAGTCCACACAATGGTCACACAAACGTTGGTCATGCAATGGGAGGCCATTCACGGTGCCTGCTGTAACCAACGAGCCATGCACCTCGGACATGGGAGCATCATGGACAAGAAACATCCTTGGTATGGTGGCACTCCACCGCTTTCCTGCTGGCGGGACTCTTCTGCATCTGGGCTTACCCTTCTGAGAGCTTCACACAGGAACTTGCGTGCACAGTGCAACTGCTTGGCAGTTCAGGTACGAAAAAGGCCACAGCACAGGTACCCCAAACACTTAAGCCCAGCCGGGCTATAGGGATGGCAGGTTGCAATCTCTCAAGTCTCAGCCTCAGTGGGGCTGCCCTTATCAGTGCAGGAGCACGATGGCATCGCACCAGCCAGACGCATCAGTACTGGTGGCTCCTCCACCTTATTTAACTCGTTTCCCCTTTCTCCTCCGACCTGGGGAGCGGCTATGTTGGTTTAGTCACACCTGGTGCAGAGCCAAAGCTGAGCCACAAGCGTGGATTACCTTAGCTAGCAGAAACAAGGCAAGATTTTCCAGCCTAGTATGGAAAACCTAAAACCCTCCTCTGGCCAAAGATTTCCCTCAGCTGATTTCAGGGGGAGAATCAGAGGAAATCTGGCTCTGGTTGAGTTTGTAGTGGTGGGAGAGAGGTTGTTAACAGCTAGTGGGGAGAACTATTGGGATTTCCGTTAGAAACTAGAGATAGTCTTGAGCCACAGAGCTGATCTCTTGGGCTCCCGGACATCTTACAAAGGACAGAGCAGTATCTGGGAGCCATGCTGTGGATTTCGGTCTCTCTCTCTTAATAAACTCCAGCGATGAGTTAGCTGCTAAATGGCAGTTCTCAAAAAGGCTGGGAGGCATCGTCAAAGAAAAGGTAGCGCAGGAGTAGGCAGATATGACAGAGATGATGGCCAACTCACCAAGCACTAGGGAAAGAAAGGGTACTCAGCTTATGTGAGGTGGATGGGCAGATGGACAGATGAAACAGAGACAAAAAGAGAGGAGTACATAAGCTGGAAACAATACCTCAGTGCTGTAAAAAGTAATGTTATGCTGGCTCATGGTTTCAGGTGTGGATGGGAGCGCTAAAAGCCTTTTGCACCACTCAGTGCTTGCTCTCAAGCTCCCATTACTTGACTTTGACCTGCCACAGGAAGCAACGAGCTCCAGACACTTTGTGAGCACACCCATAGCTAGAGACCGTTAAAGCAAGGCTAAAGGATATTCTAGCCAATGCTCTGAAGAGGATAGCCCTGTATTAGGTGCTCTTGGCCACCTCACTGGTGAACTTTTATCACAGATCCACCTTGGCTACAGAATCATATAAAAAAGAGCAAAAAGCCTTCAAGAAATCATCTCATCTTTCCCATTTCCAAGGCTAATCAGCTTCTCGAGGAAAAACTTCTTTCCTGCGAGGGTGACAGAGCACTGGAACAGGTTACCCAGAGAGGCTGTGAAGTCTCCTTCCTTGGAGATATTCAAAAGTCATCTGGACACAACCCTGGGCAACGTGCTCTAGGCAACCCTGCTTGAGCAGGGGGGTTGGACTAGATGATCTCCAGAGGTCCCTTCCAACCTCAACCGTTCCGTGATTCAATGATTTTTCAGCTTGGTAGAGCCAGAGCAACACATGCCGAGACTCAGCTGCACCTCAGAGAAGACAGAGGCCCAGAAACCCCAAGGATCATGCACATGTTCTTACATCCAAGACACATTCCTTCTGGTCATGTTTGGTATTATCTTCCTGTTGGAAAACAACCCTTTCAAATAGCTGAGGGAATTAAGCACTAGGGGTGTTGGCTCATTCTGTCTGACTTTGCACTTTAATCCTCCCCCCTCTTTGGTTTCCTTGCACTGCCATATGGCTCCTTTGTTGGACGGGCTTCAGGCGAACCATGCCACAACCACAAAATCGCACAAATGCCTTTCGTGGGGAACACAGCAGATAACAGGAATAAGATGGAGCAGACACAAGGAGCTTTGGGAGGCTCCAGGAGCTCACGGCTTGCTAGTGACAGCCCTGGCCTGAGGCCTAATAAAATTAAAGCTAGGGGATGCTTCAGGCTCCCTTTCCTGAGATCTCTGTTCTGCTTTACTGTGCTTGGATCAGGCTGCAGCAGCTTGAACTCTGGGTGCTGTCCAGTCTGAGTCCCCTTCCTGGATCCTGCTTTACTGATACATCATCCTACAAAAGCTCCCTCCCGCTGCCTGAGCTTAAAAAAATCATGATGAAAACAGATGAAATAGAAAATCATGAAAATAGATACAGTGAAAAGTCATCCTGGTGGAGGTATTTGTCCAGGCTTGGCTAGAAAACAGGACATCCACTTCCTTTGGCAAGGCTGTACCATGGACAACAACTCCCTGTCTTCAGTGTCCACCCATGTTTTCCCTTCCTTGGTACCATTTTACCCCACCACACCTTTTTCTGCCCTGCTGTGCCCCACTGAACCCCTCCTCTTTGAGGCTCCCTTCCTTGCAAACATGTGCAGACCAGCTCCCTCCTCCTGGGAAAGAAAAGCTCCAGCAGGGATTTTGTCTGCTTGACTTCGCTCCAAAACGTGGAGGGCCATACGACGCGCTGCCTGAGTTTGCCGACTTGCCTTAGAAGGCCAAAGACTATAACCAGGCTGCAACACAACTGTTTGGCAAAGACCTCATTCACCCCCATCTACAGGGTCGTGGTGGACAGAAGGTCAACCCTTCACATGCCCAGAGGTCTGGGATTTCTGGAGGGGAGGCACTGTGTAAATGTAGGTATGACTGTGGGATGGAGCATCCTGGAAAAACATATAAGTCATTCAAGCAAGAGACCCAGTGAGAGAGAAGAGCTGGAAAGGCATGGATCTGCAAAACCAGAGTATGGCAAGATCATTTATAAAGCAAGCTGCAGAAAACCAAGCAACCACAGAGAATGTGGCCAGTAACCCCAAAATATGAGGGCATCGAGGCAAGCCAGAATGACCTACTGCAGATGGGAATTCGGAGCGGCGAGCTCGAGGGTTTGGAGAGCTTGCTGTGCACTGCGCGGCCTGTCTCTGAGCCAGCCGCCGGGCTGGGTGGAAGTCACCTGCTGGGCTCCCCGCAGCCTGCTCCAAATAGCTCAGCTCCGAGAAGTGGGACTGTACCCTCCCTCGGTCTAGGCACAAATATGCAAGAGGTTCAGCCAGAGAGAGGAGCGATGCTGGGAAGGAGGAGTCGTCTGCCCACGTGCGAACAGGAGCCTGGCAGGAACAACTTGCTTCGGCCACGTTGGAACCGGGGCTGCTGCATGGACTTTGCAATCACAGCGACTGGCCCCTCTAGGCCAACCTCCTCACCAAGGTCATCTGCCCCTGACCTGTTATTCCTACAGCGACAGCCTCCTTCCACTGCTCTCCTCAGCATGATTCACCCCTTAGTTACCACATCTATTGCTCTTTCCACCTTGCAATATCATGTCGCCCTGCCAAATTAGGCTTCAGTTTGCAGGAATGTCACGGTCCTACAGCTACAGGACCTGATGCTCTCCAATGACTGTTGCCACTGGTGACCTTGTCGGTAGAGGGCTTTTCTTGTGCTTTACTGAGATTTAAGAAGGAAAAATTTATGTTTCAGACGTTTGCTTGACATAAGGGAATTGGATGCCTGCACTGCGGTGAGGAACAACAGCATTACACGGGGGCAGTGCTTGCTAGGGGAGGGGAAAGGCAAGGCAAGACAAGAAATTTTTTGCTGGAATTCTTTTCAGTTATGAACTAAGCAAAAAATTTAAACCAAATTTATTACATGTCAGTGTAATGAAAGTTACTGGCTTAAGTTTGGCATAAAAACAAATGAGAGATTTGGGAGGCCAGTAAGAAGTGGACACTGATGCACTAATCAGCATGGTTAAGAAATGCTTGAAAAAGATATGTGCAGAGCAGGTAACATCAGGCCTAACAGGTTTTCAAGGGGCTGAGGGTTGGAGGGGGCAGTCCCCAGGCCGACGTTTCTGGGCGCTGGGCACAGGTAGGCGCAGGGGCAGCCTGAAGACCTGACGGGAGCAGTTCTTGGCTTCTGCAGCGCATGAGTTTATACCTGGGCATGAGCTTAAAGAAACCTGGAGCCGGTTGCAACCACATTGGTGTAAGCAGACTCAGGCCCTGCCTAGCAGTAACTGGCAGCAAGGACAGACCAGGACAGCCCTGGGCTGCTCCTGCCCTCCACGACGGGCACGCGTCACGCACGCAGCTGCGAGCCCCAAGCACGCTGCCAGCTCCTTTCACCCTGGGACACCCTGCCCTGGCGCCAACGGCATGGAGCAAGCTGCTGCTTTTGTGCTCATCGACATCAAGGTGATTTTAACGGGTTTCATTCTCTTTGCTTTGCCCTTTTGCAACGCGGCATCGCCCTCTCCCTCTTGCACACGTGGGTGTGCCGTTGCACCCGGGAGCAGGGGGTCCCCACGGCAGACACCTCCGTACGGTAGCCAAACTTGCAAACCCATTTCATGTACAGGCTCATGAACATGAAAATGAGTGCACAGCTGACACTGCTAGGGCCCTTTGTAAAACTTCCCAGCCTGAGCACAGCAAATTTGGCTGCCGGTTGGAAACTGGGCTGTGGCTGGGGCCTGGACCCCACTCGCTGCTGTCCCAGGTTGCACCTTTGACCACTTGGCTTCGGTCCCGCAGCGGGAGACCCCCAAACGGGGCCACCAGCATTTTGCACAGCAGGGACTGGGCCATACAAACATTTTGCAAGCAGCTCTGATACCCCGAATGGAAACAGAGGCCCCACGCACCCTCAGCTTGTAAGCGCACATATTGCGGGCAAGAAAACACACGTGTGCAGGACAGCTCAGCCTCTGCCGGCAGCAATCTGAGCTAGTCCCAAATTAGCACCACCAGCCGTCCCATCTGCAACGAGTGACAAGCGACAACCATTCAGTGGCCGCTCACGGACATCCTATACCTTAGCACTAGCCAGAACAAACACATAGCCTGGGAGGGAGAAACGTATAGGGGTTTCCAGTTAAATAATCAGCTATGGCTTCTCAATAGCCTGCGCAAAGGGTGGAGCCGAGACACGGAGGGACAAAGTGTCTGGCCGAAAATCATAACGTAAACGGGCCTCTGAGTCAGGGGGAGAGCCCAGGCGGCCTGACTTCTGCCTGCTTTTGTCTCCTCGGGGCGAGCAGTGGTTACGATTCCCCTTGGAAAAGGCTGGCGTGATCTCCGGGCCGACGCACGCGCGCAAAAACCCCGACGTGACCGAGGCGCACCGCAAAAGCACTGCTAAGCTCAAACGTCAGACGGAGGGAAGGACGGTGCAGAGCATGAAGAAG